GTGGCTCACTTAGGAGAGCATGGTGCTGGTAACACCAAGGTCAAGGGTTTGGATACCCATACTGGCCAGCCGCCAAAAGAAAAAAAGAAGAAAAGAAAAGCAATTATTCCACTTGTGGGGGAACCAGATTTAGTTTTGGTGTAAGATCAACTACTCAGAACAAATAAAGCAGAGGTTCTCAAACTTTAGCATGCATCAGAATCATCTGGAGGACTTGTTAAAACCTAGATTGCTGGTCCCACCCAGTGTTTTGATTCAATATGAAAATGTCCATTTTAACAAGTTCCCAGATAATGCAGATGACTCTGGAACAGGGGATACTCTGAGAACCACTGCTCTAAACTAAAGCTCAAAAATCACAGCACCATCGAGAGGAACGTTAATTTTTTCATTTATAATCCCACCACCAAAACTTTAGTCTGTAAGGCATTTGTTGATTAGTGCATACAAAATTAAAACTGTGGTATGAAGCATCTCTCCAAAAAGAAAAAAGAACTGTCTGACTGCAAGCTCTTTGTATATTTTAACCTACACTGAGGATTCACATATTTACAAATATCACATAAATTCTGGGGGTTTTTTTTTGGCAGCTAGCCCATATAGGGATCCCAACCCTCGACCTTGATGTTATCAGCACCACGTTCTCCCAAGTGAGCCACAGGCCAGCCTGTTTTTATAAAAAATAAATATATTTTTTTGATACGGGGACAATAGAAATTTTTAAAGATTTCAAGTATAAAGATGGCCATCCCTACCATTCAACAAGTTGTTTACTGAAGAGCGCACCTGCCAGCTGCCAAAAAGTCTATTTACTAAAGAGCTGCTGAGTCTAGAGATAAGACAGCAAGTAAAAGGAGACAACCAACCCTCTGAGCCTAATGCTCTGTGTTAGTCCATTTCTGTTGCTTATAACAAAATAAACGGAATTGGGTATTTTACAAAGAAAAATAAATTTATTGCTTACAGTTTGTGAGGCTGGGAAGTCCAAAGTTCATCTGGTGATGGTGACAGTGACCCAGGAGTCTCACATTGCAAAACGGTATAAGCAGACAGAGCAGAGAGAGAAAGACAGACTTTCTTCTCTCTTCTTTTAAAGCCCTCAGAACCATGCCCCTGACCACCATTTTTAATCCACTTACTACGGCATGGTCCTACAATCTAACCATCTCTTCAAGGATCCACCTTTAATTACCATAATAGGATTTCCCACCCTCTTAACAGTCACAGTGGGGGTTAAGTTTCTAATACATAAAAACCTGGGGGACATAATTCAAGCTTCACTGAGTTTTGGGGAAACATAATTCAATCCACTACATGCTCCTTGTTAACCTCTGGGCTAATTTTAGACAAACAAAAGGAATATAAATGTCATGCATACTTTAACCCCTACAAACAAGCCCAAACTCCCAAAATTGCTAAACCCACCACCTAGCCACCTAATCTCATCAAGAGTGTGCTATAGGGTCAAGAGGTATAGGGTATAGTGAAGCAACAAGGATTCCTAGATCAATTATCATTTTTAGAAAAAACAAACTACAGAAGAAATATTGATATTCTTGATGAATATAAGGTTCTAGAATCCACAAACTTGGGGCTGACTGGTTAGCTCAGTTGTTAGAGGGTAGTGTTGTAACACCAATGTTGAGGGTTCAGATCTCCATACCGGTGGGACGGGGGGCGGGGGGGTAGAATGCTTACTAGAACCCACAAATTCAAGAGTGCAAACATGATTTCCACCTTAGAATCAATCAAATAGAGGTGAAAATTTTAAATGAGCTCTTTGGAACAATAACTAATGTTACAAGATATAAACAGTCAAGTAGAAGAAAAGACAACAGTTGAAATTCAAAGTAGCTGGCCAGGTTCATTTCTTAGATAACTTGTCCCACATAGCAGCCAAAACAAAAATACATATTACTTACAAATTACGGACCTTTGGGGTAGATCATTAAATAGTTCAAAACGTGGAATCCTTAAATGTTTAGGAACTACAATAGTTCCTAAGGGTGAAGAGCTGTTAGCAAACAGCATAAAAGGACAGTGCTCACATGCGTAATCATAATGGTACTGTCATACCTCCCGAAGAAATTAATATGCGGTAAGCATACTGAAGAAGTGTCCAATAACCATTAATAAATAAATATGGACGCAAATTCTTTTTAAAGTTGTTTTTAAACAGCCAGACTTACACCAAGGTCAAGGGTTCTGATCCCTGTACTGGCCAGCCACCAAAAACAAATAAAAAAACAGACTTGATCTGTACAAGTAGAAAATATTAAGATAGGGCTGGTTGTTTGCTCAGCTGGTTAGATCATAGTGCTGATAACACCAAAGTTCAGGGTTTGATCCCTGTGCCTGCCAAACGCCACCCCCCCCCCCCCCAAAAAAAAAAAAAAAAAAAAAAAAAAAAAAAAAAAAAAAAAAAAAAAAAAAAAAAAAAAAAAAAAAAAAAAAAAAAAAAAAAAAA